CGGAGGAGGCGGAGGAGGTGACGGAGGAGGAGGCGGAGGAGGTGGCAGAGGAGGTGGCGGAGGAGGTGGCGGAGGAGGTGGCGGAGGCAACTATGTAGGTGACGGAGGAGTTGGCGGCGACGAGGGAGGTGACGACAGAGGTCACAGAGGAGGTGGCGGCGACGCGGGAGGTGACAAGTCTGATGACAGAGTTGAGGGGTGTGAGGGTGACTTTCCTGTGCGTGGTCGTGGGTTCTTCTTGAAGCGGTTGAGACACGGTCCTAAGGAGGAGAACAGCATCGGCTCTCGTGTGCGCAGGCGTCGTCTTGAGACTCATCACGATGCGACCGCCACGGACGCACGTGTTGCGCAGCACGAGCAGGTTCTCGTGTCTGAGGACTCCCTGGGCGACACATCGGACAAGGACTTCATTCCTCAGACTTCCGACGTGAGGGGCGCTGAGCATCAACCCGGTTTCGTCGAGGGCCCGACCAAGTTTGCAGCGTCGATTTCAATGCAGGAGGAGAGTGGAGCAGGGTTGACTTGTCCCGAGCTTGCGGCGCCCATCGCAGATACTGCGGTTGCACAGGAGCCCCATCTCCATATGACACAACCCACGGTCGCGGTTCATACAGAAGTTCGAGGAGGGGCAGCCAGTGATGGGCAGACAATTCCCGACGCTGAAGGGAATGTGCCACCTCCTTCCACCGTCGTCTGCACGGGCGCCCACGGGGCACCCAGCGTCGCGGTCCCCTCCATAGCCGAGGTAGCACATCCTCCCACGACTGGCGTTGGTTTGGAGGACGGAGAGGTAGCACATCCTCCCACGGTTGACATTGGTTTGGAGGACGGAGAGGTAGCACATCCTCCCACGGTTGACATTGGTTTGGAGGACGGAGAGGTTGCACGTACTCCTAGTTGTGCCCATGAGGGAGAGGTTGCACGTCCTGCCATGGTCAACCACGTTGGCCTCGCCTGCCCCGCTGACAGTCTTCCGCCCACTGCGGAGTTGCTCGCCATGGAGTCGTCGTTGTTTGATCTTCCTGATGTATCGACTTTGATTTCTCCCACTTTGGCATTTGTGGCACCACCAGCGACTGGTCGAGCGGATGACGCGGATGGAGTGCGTAAAGGATTCGACGAGTTTGTCGGCGACCCGCACCCCCATGGCGCAGACTCTGTCGTCCACGGTGTGGCGGCGAGCACCGCATTACCGACGGTGTCGTTTTACGACGGCGTGACCAGGGACCGGAGGGCGGGCTATGAGGGACATGCATCAACATGCGGACTGACAAATGTGCGTGCGGGGATGCGATCCATAGGCCGCGTCGATGGTACTTCTCATGATTCCATGAGAGCATACGAGGAGCGACATGGGAGGCCTTTGCGATCCAAGACAACGGATGTCCACGACACGAGGACGGCGACTGCGAGGTTATCCCCGGCGAGGAAGAAGGGGACAGGTACATCGATCCCATATCACCGTCGCCTTCCACCACCGACTTATCACGCCAGAGCTCCGACCACACAGATTCCGGCGACTGGCGGGGCAGTGGCGGACGGGGGGACAGCCCAATGCCGTTCAGGGCGAGTCGAGAAGAGATGAGGCGATGTGGTGATCTACCATGATGACAGCTCCACAGCCGCGAAGACTTGCGAGACCACAGGCGTCGACGATCCAGGTGACTCCGATTACGTGCCCCGGCGCCCGGCGGAGGATGGAGATGATGGTGGAGGTCGACGGGTCAGGCAGAGGACAGGACTCGGCCCGCACGGGCAGAGGACGCCATCGGACCCTATACCGCCTATTGATCGACAGGCGCAGGCTCAGTCTGTGATAGCCAAACTGTATCATTACCGGTCTGAGCCTTCGTAGCAGGATGCAGGTTTGTGACCGCCTATTGATCGACAGGCGCAAACTCAGTCTGTGAATTTTGCGTACAGGCCTTCGCAACGGGGTGCAGGTGGCGACACGGGTTCAGTATTCAGGTGGCGTTGGGTTTTAACAGGGGTCCTGTGCTTTTTTTTTTTGCGACTCTCACTGTGTGGGACGGAGGAAGTGTGAGGCGCTCCCTCTCTGAGACTAGTGCAATGACTTGCTGATTTTGACTGCCGAGACTGCTTGTGAGGTTGTACATCGACCCGGTAGGTTAGATTTGTGATTTTGTTTGGCTGAGGGCTAAACCGAGAGACCTACCTGTAAGGAAATTCGTGAGGGACATATCTGTAAATTTGGAAAAATAGAGTCGTAACACTAACTGGATTTCCTATTACTACCCTAATTGCGAATAGCAGGCCCGGGCTACCCCTAGGACAGACAAGTCTTATGGGCCTATGCTGATAGACGGTCCTATAGCCTATAGCCGAGTCCGGTAGAGGCCGGGAGGCCGAAACAGAAACGGTACCCGTCGGTCAGTCAGTCCGGTCTATGTGTAGGCTAGAGTAGTTGTAGCCTATAGTGACTGTAGACTGCAGTCTATTAATAGGTTAGGCCCTTCGGTAGCTGCGTATGGTCGGGCTATATCGAGGCTCTACACTGTGTGTTCGTGGGTGGTGGCAGCCATAGCTGCCTGGTACTTCGTCTGAGTTGTCCATCGGCACTGAAGACTTCATCNTATATCGAGGCTCTACACTGTGTGTTCGTGGGTGGTGGCAGCCATAGCTGCCTGGTACTTCGTCTGAGTTGTCCATCGGCACTGAAGACTTCATCGCAGGATCTGTTCTTCATCACGGTGGTTGGCGCTAGCCTCAGGGAGGCTGTTTTGATGTGGCGCTACTAACAAGGTGTAGGATAGAGAGTGGGGTGTGAGTTCTGGGAGTGGCGAGATACTGGAACAAACTTTGTGACGATATTTTAGTTGAGTGGCTCATCATCTGTGTGACTTCAGTTGCCATCCTCTCAGGTTCTTCTTGTGATTGGTTGTTGGGCGTTTGTCAGAGAGTGAGAAACACTGCGTGTCTTCTGAGCTCTTCTCCCCATCTGTGCATGGTTGAATTCCGCTGTCTACTCTAGTCTGTGTGCAGTTTGGACTCTGTCTCCTCTTCCCCTTCTCTCGTGCATGTATGGGCATGTATGAGACGGTCTGTGTGAGTGGCGGTAAAAATCGGTAGACAACCAAGTTCATAACACAGAATAAGGATTTTTTTTTTATTTTTTTTTTCTTAACTACACTCTGTTCTTCTCTAAAATTGTTTTTGCCTTTCACTACCTACTCCTGTGGGAGAGTGTTGGCCATAGGCCCATAGCCTTTGCTGCTACTCGATGAGGGGTGGCCCGGGTGGGGAACATTGAGAAAGGGAGGCCCAGGCCGCGCAGCTACTGGCAAAATGCATGGTCTTTGCGTTAGCCGGCCTCCCACCGGCCGCCCCCCCCATCCCATCTCTGACTACCACTGTTGAGGCGGGGGGCAACATGATTTACCTCATTTGCGAGGCCCTATGCGTGCAGGGTACCTGCGGGGCCGCGCCCACCAACCCCCTCAAACCCACTAGGGCCCCCAGTGCCCCCCAGGGCCCCCACACTCAAAGTTGCAGGGTACCCGTACTACCCGCGGGGCCGCGCCCTGCAACCCCCTCAAACCCACTAGGGCCCCCAGTGCCCCCTAGGGCCCCCACACTCAAAGTTGCAGGGTACCCACGGGGCCGCGCCCACCAACCCCCTCAAGCCCACTAGGGCCCCCACACTCAAACCCCCCTCCCCGCCCCCGC